TATCATGTAGTATCTATGTATAAACGTTCTTTATTAAATATACTGCAGGTTATTTTTTCAATATAATTTGTTTTACTAAACTATACGCATCTCATTACAAAAGCTATTGGACAGACGCGAGCCAGTCACACGCCTCCGCCTTCTTGTTATTGCAAGTGACGAGCAGTTTTGATCGTCACTTGTTTCTTTCCTGGAAATATTATCACCTTTATCCATCCACTTACTCTCTAAGTGTTTATATGCATTTTGTCTTGTCGTTTTCAAGGTACGAAGCCTAAGTGCAACAGGTTAAATAAAGCAAGACTGGTTTCATTACTCACTCATTCGCCATGTAGGAGAGGTGACTCGAAGGGTATAACTACCACTTTTACAAACTTTTCAAAAGAGGGAATGTATATTTCTCTTTCTCATGCCTTCAGCAATGACTTACAAATGGTGTATCCTTTGGAAGTCTTGAGATGGTTATGGAAAACAAATCCTTTTCACTGAAATATAAAGAACAAATACTATATTAGAGTAAAAGCTCGGTAGTGCAGCAGTGATAACATCTAGACATATATGTATAAGCATAAGGAGAAGATGATATCACTGAAATGAAAAATAAAATAATGAAAACAACCGACGATGGTTATGATAAAGTATTATTATCAATGATGCCAATAAAAAGAAAAGGATGGGGAAGGAGAAAAAAAGATAAAGAAGGGGAAGGAAATGCTGAAGTGAATAAAAAAAGTAAGTAAGAAGAATAGGAAACAAATGTCTAGATGTGAGTAGCTTGCCTGTTGCATATACATACATGTCCTTACGCTTCCTTGTTGACCTTGGCCAAAGCTAACCGTGAAAGAAAATTTGTTTTATCTAGTATTATTACTTTTTTGTCTTCCTTATTTTCTACGTATTCCATAAGGAAATTGTTTCGGTGCGATATTTCCGTGCCATGTTTCCTTTTTATTTGTATATGTATATATATATATATATATATATATATATATATATATATATATGGACACACACACACACACACACACACACACACACACACACACACACACACACACACACACACACACACACACACACACACACACACACACAAACACACACACACACACACACATATATATATATATATATATATATATATATATATATATATAATATATATATATATATATATATATATATATATATATATAAATATATATAAATACTTGGTTGTCCTTTTCTCTGCTTCACTTCTTTGTATTTTAAATTCTTGTATTTTTCTCACCCATTTTTCCAAAGCCATTGTCCTTGACGCATCTACACTGACGCAACATCAGCATCGCAATACAGGCAGCATTAGCGTATTTAGAGATATTGCTTGACTTTGCCGCTGCCATTCCTCTTTGGCCTTGGACCTCCACTCGCCAACGAGGACCGAAATGGCTCTCCAAAGAACGACGTCGAGTCGTATTTCCAAGTTTTCCCGCGAGAAGAGTGGAATGCTTCGTCCGCTTTGCCCTTCAGGGCACCGTCTCTCCGTCGCTCGTGCCTCGCCCCTCGCTCCCTGTCTGCAATGACTATCCTTTAGCCCCCCACTACGACCCCCACCTCCTATCCCATGGCTGCACTATCCCCCCCCCCTCTGCCTCTGCTACTGCGCGTTTGGTATATAAAGAGACACTTCAGTCCCTTTGGTCCAGTCTCCCACACCCAGGCACCATGTGAGTACGGCCGGCTCGTTTCGTTATTGTGATGACTTCATTTAAGAATGTAGTCACTTAGTTATTTTAGCTATTGTTTCTTCTTGCTTTTGTATATATATATTTTTTTCTTTTTCTCAGACTTTACAAGCAGTTATTTATCAACAAGTGATATCTTTAAAAACGAAGAGGTGAAAAGTGCACGGCGAGAAATTAAATGTGCATTGTTGTTAATGGGATATATTTCCATATTCACTGATATTTATCTCGATATACATGTGCATACAGACATCTTATATACAAGCACACGTACATACACACGTTTAGATACACAGATGGATAAAATGATAGCATCAGCTTCAGGTTCCACTGGTGGAGGCTACGGCATTGTGGTTCTTTTTGGCACTTGAACGGGTTCTTAAACACTGTCTGATCACAAATTAAAAGGTCTCGGGATACTGAGCTACTCTATATGGCATGCATACGGACGCATGCACACATACGCCGCCCCCCCCCCCCCCACACACACACACAAACACACAAACATGTCTACATCTCTTTCCCTCACCAACCCCTGTGAATGCCTTCCCGCAGGAGACCTCAGGTAGCCCTTCTCGTGCTGGCGGTCGTGGCCGTCGTGTCCAGCGCTCAGGAATACAGCACGGAGGAAGTCATTAGGAACCTGCAAACCACAGCAGACGCAGAGGAGTTGGTCGACTGTGTTCTCGGCTCCCGCCAGCCCGGACTGCCTTGCAGGCAGATGTTCTTGGATTTCAGACGTGAGTTCATTGCACTGTCTTCCTCTCCTCTCTAGC